ATGAACTAATTAAAGTTCTTGTAAGTTGGCATTACAACATGCTGTCATTTATTTAATAATTTAATACTTTCAAAATATTTTATTAATAATCCTTTTTTTATTTAAATTCCAGTCTTGTCCACTTTCTGTAAAAAAAGATATTTTTCCAGTTCTCAAAAATTTAACCAACCTTAAAAATTTTGAACAAAATGTTATTTAACTTCCTATTACATATAATCTTTTTTGTAAAATAATTGACACCTACAACCCCTCAAAGCCCTTAAAGAATTGTTTTTCTGCAAATAATTTTCTTAGATTAGTAAATGTTTTAGAAAAATTCTTGTTTTCTGATTCTGTAAAAGATAGCTTGCATGATATTATTTTAGAATCTTATTCACTTCTACAGCAAGACAATATGATTCTTAATAATATTTTTAAAAATGAAATTTCAAAAGATAAAATACAATTATGTGAAAATGTTCTAAAAAAATGGTATGTTAAAAATATTTAACAATGCATGTAAGTAATTGCTTTTTTAATTATTATTACTGCTAATTTTAGGATCATTGAATAAACAAATTCTCCATTGAAATATACTGAATCATGATATGTGTTCAATTATATATTATCTCTTTTACAAGAAATAATAGGGCAAAACTTGTCTATAAAACATATTGAGCCGTAAATAATTTTATATATTTTTATTGTTAATTAGTTTACATTATAAAGTTTTTTTATATCAATTATCTAGTCTCAAACATCAAAGTCAATACTCTCATGACCATAAAAATAACTTATACAAGCCATCATATAGCTATGATAAGACCAAAGTACCAAAATCCATAAGCTAAAAAATTAACATAGCAATCATATATATGTTGTACCTCATATCGGTTCTTGCCTCAGGTGACAACTGAGGCACCTCAGATATGAGGTGCATAACATGTCAATCGGTTACCTGAGGTACCTCAGTCGTCACCTGAGGCAAGATGATTTGCATAAAAAAAAATTCAGATATTAAATATTTATTTGTAATACTTACTTGGAAAATAATATGATTTCTATATTAGTAATTGTTTCATTATGCAATAATTAAATAAATCTAAAGTGCAGTAAAATCGAATAAAAAAGAA